ACATAGACATAGCTTTTCAAAATTTGCTTAGTCTCTCTTGAAAGAAGAATATAAAATAAGCACTCTTGCACATCTTGCAAGGACTAGACCTGTCTCTTCTATGTGACCATCTATGAACTATATAGTATGTATTAGTTACACTGTTACCCATACCAAGTCATTTGGCTTTAGACACTTCCTGGTTAAAATGTGATTATTCCTTGTACATGTTCTTCTCCTCTGTCGAATAGAATAGTTTCTGTGAGTTCTTAGCAAAATAGTGAGAGTATGAAATGGTCAATAAAATTTCAATAGGTTAAATAAAGCTGAATTTAACTATTTACAAAAAGAAGGGAGGATGAGGAAAAGGGCTAACCTTGACTAAGCAGCAGGAAAATTGGAACTGCTGACATTTCTTTAAACATTTCACAGACTTCACCATAGTATTTTTCAAACACATCATTAGATTATGTTTCCTCTGTAGCTTTAAAGAAAGCCCATAGAATAGAACACCAGATAGTACTTAGATTTAGAAACTCTATATTAACCGAACCTTTATTTATTTATTAAATGCTGTGTCATAAAATCATGATGGTGAGACAACAAAATAAGTATGAAAAGATCTGGGTTCAGATGAAACTTTATTTTTTTCAATTATTAGTGAGAAAATTCCCCAGGCATTGAATGACCCACCCTAAGGCTTTATTATGATAGAAGTGGGATTCCTTAGGTCTCTCTCCCACTAGGATATTCTATAAACCATTACTCCCCCCAATGTCTGCTCTTGCCTACTGCCTTTTCACCTCTCTTTCATTCATTCATATGTATACATTGGAGCTGCATGATTCTCAATGTCCTATTGTCTGTAATGCACACATTCTGCTAGCCAGGAATGGTCTAACAGATGATTATTTTACACCTTACATAATGTGAGACTCCTTCATGGTGAAATTATGTTTAAATGAAGAACAATACCATGATATGGCTCTTAATGCTATGGATCTAGCAGAGTCTGGTAAAGTCTTTGAATTCTTTCTATGTGTTTCAAAAATAAATTTTAAGAATGATGCTTAATTCTCATTTTAAAATGGAACAGTATTGAGGGACAAGAAAGATGACTCGGTGATAAGAGCTCATAGTATGCAAATCTGATTGTCTATTTACTAAGCTCTTGGATTCTATGTAGAAACATGCCCTCTCTCTGCTCTCGTGTCTAAATTATGAATTTTCCTAATGGGGAGCTTTTGAGTATGAATCAGTGTTTACCAACTGACACTGTGTAGGCAGCCTGTAGAAGACCTCCTCTAGCCTTGAACTGGAAGGAAACCTGCTAGGTTTTAACAGTGCTGCCAATTGTTCTAAATTGTTCTAGTAAATCTTTAAAACAGGTATCAAGTAAATAAGAAAGAATATATATATATTCTATGGAAAGATGCACATATACTGTTTCTGGTTCTCCAGAGTCAGGAGCACACAGTAAACAGTGCTGTGTGCTGTGTCAGAAGATCCAAGTGACATCATTTGTTTTGTAATTTGTAGTTAGAAAATTCAATTGGTATATTTAACTTAAAAAATTAAAGATTTAAATGGTTATGTAAACACCATAACTGCTCTTCTTTACTTATTTTATTCACTATATTGTCTCAAGGTTGAGATGATTAGGAAAGCTCTCTTCAGCTCTCTTATTTTCTCAGTATAACAGAGGAACTAATAAGATCTTATTTCGTCTAGTTTTGACGACGATTTTTTAACAACAGATTTCCAGGATAAATGATGGCAATGTGTTTACTTTCAAAGGAGACTTATTAACTTTTCTTTTAAGTTCACGGAGCTAATGAGATTGTCACATGAGCCTGGTGACCTCAGTTCAATCCCTAGTTGGAAGAAAAAAATAACTCCAAAAAGTTGTATTCTGACCTCCACACACATTCACATATCCACACACACACACACACACACACACACACACACACTTGTAAAATTTTAAAGCTATAAATTAAATCCTGTTTTTGTACTCACTATACTCTGAAAATATCATACTTAATCAGTTTGGTTTTTTTTTCATTTTTTTCAGGTTAAATGTGCTGTACTCCACAGCATTTCACTGTCTTTATACTCATTATCATCATCAGTAAGGCTACCACCTGGCTTTTATATAATATATAAAAAGAACTTTGAGGCTAAGAACAAAAATATTATTTAATATTCCATTTTATTAAACTGATTCTGTTGCGAGTTTGTTAGCCTATACGATGTAAAACTTAAATAGTTATAAGAAAATGAAATGTGTTTTTAATAGCTAATTTCTTAAATAAATTAAAGAAACATTACATTTTAAGTAATGAATGTATATTTTCTATTTTAATCAGAAAAATGAGAATTCAGCCTAACTAGTAATTAATAAGTTAAGATCGTTCCCATCTTTCTACTAAATTATTAAGGAACATAAGGGATAGTTATTTTTAATAAAGCTGCAAACAACAAAATTATCATATGAAGTGCTACTGAAGTTAAAAGTGGAAAGACAAACATCAGCATTGCTGATAAATTCAGAAAGTTGAAAACTGAAGTAGTTTATGTACACAATATAATTTAGCTTTTCACTAGATTTCCCTGAGGCATTATTTAGATGCCAATGTGCTAAATCTGAAGCATCCTCACACAAACTCATAAAGCAGCATTACATGGCCACAGGATCCTTCCTGGTGTTATCTGTGCTATAGAGGTCAAAACAAGGACCCAGTATTTGCAGACTTGAGAATGTGAAGATGGAAAAGGAAACCTTCTTTGTACAAATTGTACAAAGAGCAATGCCCTCCCACTCTGCTTGTTAAGACAAAAGAATCAGCAGCAGATGAAGCAATAGAAAGAACTCATTGATGTAATTTATATACCCAAGTTTGAGTTTCCTTAACATTACATAGGTTAGGTAACTCTAGTATTCTCTTGAGATACATTGTTGAAACTAAGGGCAAAGATGGCAGGAATTTTATTTTCCACCCTCTTAAGTCATTATGTAAAAGAACATACTAGTTCACAATCATGATAAATGAGAGTTCTTCAAAATCCACAAAACATTTTTCAGAAATTTCATTTAATTTCATACTTAAGAACATGACCTGTTATAGTTCTCTAGAAATACATTTCTTATGCTATTCAAGCCCTACTACACTGTTAAGTAAAAGAATATAAGAAACAACTTTTAAGCCACTCATGCAGAAAATAAATATGTAGAAGTAAAGTGTTAAGTTGCAGGAAGCAATATCTAAGAGACAATAACACTTGAACTGAAACACTCAACCACCCATACTGTCAATAATGAACCAAATCTTCCCTTTCCACCTTTTAAGTACATAAGCTCAAAATTTGCTGATACAATATCAGTCTAGTAAATGGAACTTTAATTTCAGTTCAGAAAAAAGGAAGGAAGGAAGGAACGAACAAGGAAGGAACGAAGGAACGAAGGAGAAAGGAAGGAATGAAGGAGGAAGGAAAGAACTAAGGAATGAAGGATTGGGAAGGTGTTTTGTTTCTTATATTCTTTGTCTTTAGCTTTTTCCTCACCTATTACTTTCAAAGTTCATTTTTGTATATTGTGGCAACTAGAATGGATAATAAAATTTTTTGCCAAAAGGAATGTGTACTAGCTTATTAGCACTATATAATCCATGTAATGTCTTACTCCTCTCGTTCAATGTGCATCTTGGTTGTTTCCATATGCACTGGGCATTTGTCCAGGAAGACTGACTATTAATTCATGAAGGACAGAAAACATCATTCTACCATACCCTTCATTATTCCAAGTAGTACTTCAGATCCTGGATCTGTGAGCATGTGTTATTAAATTTATACAGTACAGCAGATACAAAACTTCAGTTATAAAGGTATTTTGAATTGAAAAAAAACACAGCTTCCAAAATTTCAAACTAATTACTCAATATAATATTAAGAAAAAAATTTAAGAATTATAACCAATAATTGGTGTGAAACACATTCTTCATGCCTTTTGCTTTTCATATATATATAGTATATCACATAGTATATATGTGATATATAATCAAATATATGATCTATATATGTGAAAATCATAATACCATATTTACATGTATATGTGTATATGTGACATCAGCAAAGAAGCTCTGAAATCTAAATTATGAAAGAAGAAAATGAAATGATCACTATTAATTTGTAAAACCTTTTAACAACAAACATTTTAGTTTGTAGATTTAAATTTCAGTTCACAAATTCAAATGAACAGTATTAAAAGAAGTCATTTTCTTCTAAAGTATGAACGATGTCTCACAGCTGTTTCTGAGAATCCCTTAGCAAAGCTCCTGCATCCGAGCATAATTGTCAGGGCCAAAGTTGAACAAGTTTTTCTTGGGAGCAAAACTAAAAAGGGAAAGCACAAAAGCAATAAAGAATGGAGTCACGAGGAAGTCAAGGAATGTTTGTTTAGGACATCACTCATCTCCATCATCTTCCTGATTTAAACATTTATTACAAAAGCTGCCTAATTGCTGTAAATATTTTCCCACTAACAAAAGACACTTCATGGATAAAAGCGCTTTTCATCAGTTTTAGTTTTTAAAATTCATGTATTCCTATTCTTTACCCAAATTAGGGCTTTGCAGAAGATTGCTAACGTCCACGGGAACCACATGAAGATCCTACCAGAGTACAAAGAGTAGATGTTGCTCTGATCTGAGCAGTGGAAGTCATCTCCTCGATTAATTGACTTTCCCTTTATGTGCTTAAGAATCTTCCAAGGGGGCTGACATTTCACTCATATGAAAAGGCTTGGAATGTGACAGGGGAAAGGGAGGAGAAGTAAATCAAAGAAGTGAACAATTTTCCAGATGCAATGTATTTTTCTTTTTTTTTTTTTAACTAGAAATTTTTGGAGAGCCTCTTGACATCTTAATTCTCCACACAAAACACAGTAGCAAAAATGCTTAAGGCATAGAGCATCAAGAACCACACAGGCATGCTTTTGAGCATGCACATACCCACAAAACACACATAAATTCCAATCTGTTGCTGATTTGATTGAAAAGTAATCCCAAATTTGCTGAATATCCACATATGCAAGTCAATCAACATGATTTCAGCATAAAAACAACAGCACATTTGCTAACGTTTCTTTGTTTTAATCACTAAGTAGCAGTCTTCACGCTGGCCTCTTCACCTACAAGTTGCATTTATAAAACCTGCCCAGTTGACTAGACTTTAAATCACACCAGAATATTTCAGTTGTCACCTTTAGCCACATGGTTGCAAGAAACTGCCCAGATATTTCATGCAAATACCGACCCATTCAGAAAGTCTTCCCCCACCCCACTGAGTAAAAATTCACCAAGACATTGAAAGGTTAAAAAAAAAATCTGGAGACTTGAAGATAAATTCTGAGCAACAGAGTGTATGCCCATTGTGTCTTGGAGCCAAAGAAGGGGAAGTGGTGTTAGTTCTCAAAGCCCCCTGGTTCTATATTGCCTTTTCCCCCAGGATGTTTCCTCATTTATCAGGTATCATTTTACAAGGGATTTCTTGTTATCCACAACTAGTATAAATCAATCTATCACGGAAGGATTTGTTTAATACATTTATTCCTTTAAGAAGTTGCATGACCATATTTCATTGACTTGTACAATAGGAAAAAAAAACTTACTACTAAAACAGAGTTTGTGGAGGTTGGTGCATGGCAAACCTATTTAGTCCTTTCAGAGGTCCATTCTTAGATTTTAATGTTAAATAATAACAACTATTCATATAAGCTGGTCTCACTGTATATCTTGACCTTTAGCCCTTCCACACACAGCAGCTTATTGTGGTATCCTTTAAATATGAGAAATAAGAATGTTTTACTTTGCTATGAAAAGAAAAATAAAAGAGTACTGTATGTTACATGGCCCATGAAATATTGGCGGTGTGCTCCTTGGCTTTCATTCTCAGAACGGCAATACTGGAAGACCTCCTTTCAAACTCTGGCTTTGTTTCAAATGCGTGTCCGTTGGTAGCCCCAGTGAGAAGAGAGTCAGTGAAAAAATTGTTGAGGGGCACATGGCTGAACTGATTCTGGTGGTTTGAAAACCCCGTGTAACTGGAATCTGTCCGAGGCGAGTGAGAATAAGGTGTCATGCAGGAGGACGCATCACGTGGTAACATGCATGATGTAACCACAGAGCCACCACTTGCATTCCCTGGCCACAGATTGTTCTGAATCTGGAATATATAAAACAACAAATGTTACATTCACACATTCTCACTTTAACCCTCTCACTTTCCTTAGGTTTATAAAGTTGGGTTAGCTACTCATTTATTTGACCCTATTAGGAGGTCTATAATTTCCTTCTAAGTATACAAAACAGTGACTGAAAAACAAGTCATTGAAAAATTATTATAGTTTGTTTACTTTAGTAGATCATCAAAGCTCACATACTTAACCACAGAAAATACTCCCAGAAAACAAAAATTACTTCGATATTCTTGTTGTAGTCATGATTTTAAGATGCATGTGGGATATTTAGTCATGACTCATGGCTTCTATTCATGTGTTTAAGGAAGGAAGAACTTCAAAGATGGTCTTAAATTTAAAGATGATATTCACCTTTCTAAACATACAGCTGTGTTTTTTTCCAGTTCTGAAGCTGGAATGGTGGTTTTCACAGGAAATTATTGTCGACTTTTACGTAGTTTTGTCTAAAATGATATTTTTAAAACTGTATTCATTCAGAAAGTATTTTCCCTTTCATTGCTTCCTGTGTCCTATGTCTACGCTTCAGTAAACTTCTCTGAGAGTCTGATCACATTTGAAACATTTATTCTATTATTTATATGTGGTATGGGGAATTCAAAACGATATGTGACACGTAAAACAAACTTGTAATTCTAGAACATTAACCATTACCAAATAACAGAAGTACAGGTGAAAAACGGCAAATGTTAAGATGTCAGGTGAGTGCAGTAAAAGTGCTACAAACATCACATATGCAAAAAAGGTGCAATCTGTGCCCAGCAAATTTAACATTCATATTACTATGTCTTGAAGGAAGATGAGTAAGTAAAATAAAGCACAAATTTTCAAATGAACACTATGACTAATTTTTCAAATGAGAATTTTAAATTCAAAGCATCTCAATCACAATAGGCAAGGCAATTAAACAACAAAAATTAACAGGCCACAGAAATTACAGTGAGACACATAGAAAATTGTAACAAGTGGAAGTGAAGGAAAGGAACAGTAGAGACTATTATGTAGCAAAGCAAGGCAAAGCGATGCAGCCTCAGGAGATGAAATAAAACAAATGTATGTGCCTTTTGTTTTGTCTTGTTTGGGGCCTGTGGTCTTCTGTTTTGCTTTCTGAAACAGAGACTGGCTATGTAGTATATAGGTATGCCTAGAGTTTGCCATGTAGCCCAGGCAAGGCTCAAGCTTCCTGTCTTCCTGCTTCAACCACCTGAGTACTGGGATTACAGGAATGCACACCACTCCAGGTATGTAGCTTCCAACAACTTTTTATAACACATGTAAACTAAACATGGCACCAGTATGTGTTGTCATGGTATCTGGATTTCTTCTATTTAAGTCATGATGAAAAATGGAATCATCAATGATTTTGACACATAAGGATGTCTTGTAATTTGCATATTCCTGGCTTCTACATGTAGCCTCTGATGCATTCTTACAAAACCAAGTTGAACAACACTCTATGACAACCTATGTTCTATTTATAATAGAAAAATATATTCATAAATATAGCTCACATTAGAGAAGTTATTTTGTGACTCAAAACAGGATGGTGCATTTGTTTTGGAAACATGAAAGAAAATGTATACAAATGATTTTAAAATCACAAAAATACTCACAAAAATACTTACTGACCAAAAAAATATTTATTCCTGTGTTGTTCTAAAATGAGTTCCTAATATAAATATATTTCAAAATTTGTTTTAAACTTGTGTGTATCTTTATGTAGCTATAAATATAAATTCACAGAGTTGACCCATTTACCTTCATATAGATGTATACAATCATTTACATATTTCATTACTCCTTAAAACACCATGGCCTGTGTTGTTTTCCTGTTGGCATACTTCTCTCCACTCATTTCACATCAGCCAAAATGATTGTTAGGCTATGTGTCTCAAACCAACAAGAGGACTGCTCATGTCATTACTCTAGCAAACTAGCTCTTCTAATGTAATCTGGGTGTTTTTCTTAACACTCAATCAAACATTGTAAAACGTTGCAAAACCCACAGTCACATGACTGAAAAGGCTTTCAGGAAGGAATGAAAACTTGTTTGCTTATTTGAAAATGAATAGTGATAGGGAACATTGACTTGTCTTTCCATATTAAAATGTTTTCCAATTTATAGTTTCACTAAAATTTATTATAGTCATATATTATATTCCACATGCATAGAAATATGTTTCCAACCAGTTACATAGTGAAGGGAACAGGGGAAAGGCAAAGAAACAATCTATAATGTTAAATAAAGAAAATATTTATTCTGAAAATTTCTTTGAAAATTTGAAAACATTAATCTATTTGAAAATCTAAAACAATCTGGACTCTATTCTAGTGAAAAATTAAAGGGCAAAAGATTTTATTTTAGCATAAACTTATCTGGATCTGATCAAGCATATCAATGTATTATTTGTGATAGGCAAAGTTTCTAATATGCAAGGTATTTTCTGAGCAGACCAAATTGATAGAGTACATTACTCAGAGCAACATTTTAGTTTGGATATACAAATATTTTGAAGAATTTGAAATTTCCTCCCGTGCATGGAGAATTCTCAGAAACTTTTCCTAACACATTCTTTCTCCATGCTGTCACTCTGTCCCTTCTGACTCCCACCCCAAATATGTCTTTATTTTCAAAATAGAACTTCATGGGTTTAATAGATTTCTATAACAAAACACCAGGTGCAAATTTTAAGGTAATATACCAGAAGAAATGTGATTTTACTTTCTCTAAAATATTGCCTCTGGCTTAAATCTAGTACTTGACAGCTAATCAACATTAGTTAATTACCATGTGTGGCATAAACTATAAAGACTTTTATCTTAACACAGATACATGGATACATGGGTGTTCTTTGTAGAAGGTTAATCAAAAAAAGAGACCAGGGCCTTTAACCCAGACTGAATAACCAATAAGATTAAATCTGACCCAAAGAAATCAAAAGACAGTAAAATAAGGTGACTATTTTTGTAAGTTACAATCCATTTTTTGTGCACACTTCCAATTTCATAATTCAAAGGCTCTACCGTATGATAGCAATGATTATTGATCATAATTATTTTACTTATCTTGGCCTATAAAAATAAATGATAAACCCTTCATATAATGTATTGAATGATTGAAAAGTTCCTAAGAATGTGAAATTTAAACAGATCAATTTCTGCAGGTCTAATAAAAATTTAGAAACTACTTGGATTAATACAGCCAATGTATGTTTGTGGTTGGAAATACAAATCACCACAAGTATAATCATAAGAAAATCATATTCAGATTCTTCTATCTTGCTATCTTATTTATGCACAGAGTTTTTGTCATAAAAACATATTTTCCATCACAGATGCATTGGTACTTACTCATTAAGAATGTCATATCAGATAATAGAATCTATATAAAAATGATAGTAGTAATAAATCAGCCGAAATTAGGAGACATTAGTGGAGTCCAACTTCCAAATGCAATTAGACTCTCAATAACTTTAACTTTTTCATTTCCTGGAGCCACAAGTTCTACTACTTTGCAAAAATTCCATTCTTCCATTTATGTTCCATAAAATGACACTGACTAATCATTATTTCACTTACTATGACAAAATTCCCACGTTGGTTTTTTTTGTTTTTTGTTTTTTGTTTTGTTTTGTTTTTTGTTTTTCTTTGTTTTTTTTAGGTTTTCATTTCTAGTCCTTCCAACCACTTCTCAAATGATATGATTCTAGACTGTCGCATTGACCATGTTCCTATAGATATACTTGAGTTGCCAATCACCTTCATTTTCAACTGTCATGGGGGAATCTGCAATGGGTTTATTATATAACAGGTGTCATCTAACTTGCATACAGGAGACTTGTGTAGGTCATCATTGCTGGAACTCACCTGTTTTTAATAGGTTAATGCTTGAAGGCAATATATGATAAAATATCTAAATTTACTGCAGTCCAGACAACCTATGCATATGCCAATTCTATTAAGGTCTGTGCTAGGATCTACAAATTTCATAATCTAAAATCGTGCACTGCTTCTTTATGAATGCCAAGCTTAAGAACAAACTTATCCTCCTACCATAATAAAAAAACATTCTAATAATTTGACTTTTAAATGGGTCAAGTTTCTTTTTGAATTATTTCAGAGATGGCAATGGCAATACCCTGCACCAAATTGGGATCTAAAGTACATAACATTTACATGCTGCACAACAACAAAATTTCCTTTTGTGTGTTTTCTATACAATGCAGGGAATGGATGCCTGTCATTTTATTTTTGTTCATTGTGTTTAAAAGGAACATTGACCCTGAAAGCATCCCATGTTTTAATGTGCCTTGTGTTACTTTTTAGAAGTTCTAAGGATGTGTTCAAAGCACTGTTCAGGAACTTAACCATGCCTTTCATTAGCAAGACTGGAAGCTCCGCTTCAAAATAGTACACTCTGCTTAATATTTTCCTAATCAAATAAGAAATCTAACACTTACTTATCTCACATATTTGGAATAATGGAGAAAGTTGTTTTGTTTGTAAGCACTCTTCACTTTGGATACATATAGGTAGTGATTTGAAATCTCATAACAAATCTTACTATGAAATTATATAACTCCTTTATCTTGGAAACACTGTGTAGATACATTCCTTGCAACCAAACTGAAAAGCACATTTTAGTATCCTAAAAATGGTGCATGTTTACAATGTACGTTTGCTTGTAATTTTAACAGTTTTTTAAAATAGATTTTAAAGAGAAACACTGCTTCTGCCTTTATCTTAGCAAAGAAGCTTGCTATAAAATAGTTTCATGATAGCATTTTAGCTTCTCAATGCTAATGTAGACTATTTAGAAATGCTAAGCTTCTGTGTTAACAACATGAATATGTGTACACTTCTTTTCATTTTGAAGTAGTATTAAAACAATTAATAATGTTTTTCTCCTAAAATAAATTGATTTGCCCTCCCTCACATCATCAAAAAGAACATTCTCTTATCTCTTGCC